GAACTATTTATAAATTAGGTTCAAGAACATCACTTATATTACAGATAAATTCAAAGAAATTGGGAGATTGACAGTGGCCTCCCAATTTATAAACAATTGTATATTTTATGTTAGAAACAACAAGAAACGTGAAATTTTAATACTAGAAACAAAGATAAACTTGTATTATGTATGATAACTTGTATTTATATGGCAAGGTATACTACTATAACAAAATTGCTATAGAAATTTTAAAATTACTATTGCTAAATTTAAGAATCATTAAAAATTGTCTACTTAGTAAAAGATGTTATACTGCTTATGAATATTTAAACGACAAAACTCCTTAGTGTTATACATATGGCTTATTTTCAAAGATGTGTAGTATTGGGTGCAGTATCATGCAGTTTATCTTTTTACGTTGCATTTATTTGATATGAATCGATTGAAGAGTAAATATTATATATACCTATAAATATACTTTTTCATATTTTCTAATATTGTGATGGAAAATGACATCATATTTTAATGAACTCATTTTTCAATCTTGACGACCCTGTATGAAATAAAATGGAGAGAAAAAAGCAGCCCTTGTCGAGTTTCTCGCCGGTTCTTCTCAGTACAAGGTCTCCCGCCCTAGACATACGAACCGATGGCATAGAGTTTCGACTTTTACAAATGCTTTGTAACTTATTATTTTGATTTGATTTAAAATTTTAAATACACCAAAAAAATTCATATCTTTTTGTAAATTTATGTTTTTACAGTGAATGTCTTATATACTTTGGTTGGCGATATTTTATATACTTACATCGATGAGTAATAATTCTCATAACAACTGGGTACGAAATACAATAGTAAGGTAATTACAGAATGTCCTTGTATTCAGTCTTTAAATATTTCTTAGAGATAATAAATGCTGAAAATTTACCTGTTACAAATCAGTATTACCTATGAACAATTCTATTAAGTCGTTTATGTGAAAGGCACCTAATTACTGAGATATTTATATATCTTCCGTTGACATGTTTAGCCACTTGGCAGACGCCACTCATCGCGAGGCTTCAAAATACGTTTATCACACCTTATCACACTTCCACCACACACAGACTGATAAGGAATATTAGCTATTAGTAAGTGTGCAAAGGTAGAACTAGTACAATTGCATTGCGACTCATAAGTGATAATGAATGTTGGTTTAGTGTCATTCCAAAGAAGTTGAATTACAACTGCAAACTTTCATAGTTTACTAGTTGTTTTTCCGCTCTCACGTATATTATAGCCTATTAACTTTCCGCCAGCGGCTTCGCCAGCGTGGTCTTGTATTATACATTCGCCTGCGTGGTCTTCTATTATACATAAAAACCCTTCCTTTTGAATCACCCTATCTATTAAAAAAACCTCATCAAATTCCGTTGCGTAGTTTTAAAGATTTAAGCATACATAGGGACAGAGAAAGCGACTTTGTTTTATACGATGTAGTGATGACATCCGTGTATGATGTAGCTACCCGTCTGTGAAAGATTTTTCTAAATCGGTCCTGTAGTAGTTAGATATTAGTATAGTCATGTGCATAGTTAAATAGGATTTAGCGATTGAGATTGATTATGGAAAAGAGTAGCCTGCTCAACATCATAGAGAACAGAAGAAGATGAATTATGGGACACTTGTTGTGATGCTATACCTTATTGATAACAATATAGAAGTCAAAATACAAGGGAAATGAGTAAAGGTAGACCTTAATGCTATATTGAACAAGTAAAGGAAAAAGTGCCGTATCGTACCAAGAAGCTAAGTTGATTATGGAAGAGGTAACAATGGAAATTACTCCACCAAGAATACACCACTAATAAAATTAAAGGAACATAATGCAAATGCGGCCGTCAGTTCCGCCACAGATTCGATATTTTGTTCGCTTAATTCAGAGGGTAACATCATCACCCCTTTTACGTCCCAACTGCAGGGACTCAGACCTTCCTTATGGATGAAGACTGACTGAATTAAGAAGGATAGGTCATGACCCTCCACGCTGGCCCAATGCGGATTGGAGGGTATTAACGACTGCAAATACAATTAAATGTCTAGCTATCATACCGAAAAAAGTAAAATATGTAAACCGAGAGGTTCGATAGTTGTTTTGGTTTTATTTCAACCAAATATCCAACCTATTTCTTATTGAATTGATGGGCCACGATAGTCATTGCGTAACCTAATTATTTTAATTCCCCAACATTTTTTTACTGTTGAAACTTGTAAATTAAAATACAATTGCATTATATATTTATTATGTTTGTGATCTTTATATCAATGGCGTGCTTAGATTATTTAACAATTTATAACATAGAGCTATTATACTACAGTACGGAATACATAAGGTTGCCTTTGGAGATGGAAGATGAGTGTAAATCACAGTTTCTCTTTACTCGTGGATGCACAGTATTTTTTTGACTTTTAAAAGGTTTAATTTATAGTAATTATGATCAGACTGATGGGATACCGCTATCTTCTCTCTCTTACTAGTCGAGTAACGATAAGCTCATCGGTTTGAGCACGTGCGTTTCTCAACATAACTGTTAATATAACTCAACTCCTTCTCATTTCAAATCAGAAAACTCATTGATACAAATGTTATAATTGTCTGAGATAATATAACTCAAGTTCTTCTCATTTCAAATTCAGAAAACTCATTGATACAAATGTTATAATTGTCTGAAGTAATATAACTCAAGTTCTTCTCATTTCAAATTCAGAAAACTCATCGATACAAATGTTATAATTGTCTGAGATAATATAACTCAAGTTCTTCTCATTTCAAATTCAGAAAACTCATTGATACAAATGTTATAATTGTCTGAAGTAATATAACTCAAGTTCTTCTCATTTCAAATTCAGAAAACTCATCGATACAAATGTTATAATTGTCTGAGATAATATAACTCAAGTTCTTCTCATTTCAAATTCAGAAAACTCATTGATACAAATGTTATAATTATCTGAGATAATATAACTCAAGTTCTTCTCATTTCAAATTCAGAAAACTCATTGATACAAATGTTATAATTGTCTGAGATAATATAACTCAAGTTCTTCTCATTTCAAATTCAGAAAACTCATCGATACAAATGTTATAATTGTCGTCATTAGTCTCCAACTCACAAAGGATTTATTGGAATTTCTTTTTTATTACGCACTATACGGTGCGGTGAGTAATCGTATTGACGTATTTATTTATTTGTTCAAGTGTCAAGAAGATATTAATTAATTAAATATTAATTGTTAGTGAAAGTGTTGTGAATAAGACCGTAACATTTTTGTGTGTAGTTTAGGACTATAAATAAGAATTAGGCCGAAAAATATTAAGTGAAGTTAATTTGAACTAGTTGCATCGAAGAAAAACTAATATTTATCGGAGATAATGTTATTTTTTTCTCATTTTATTTGTCGATGGTCAAATTCATAACAAAACAAAAAAAATGGATATTAAAAACATTTTAACTACAATAATAATGATAAATAGTTACGTATTTCTTGGCGATATGTATAATTTCTATATGTATTTCCTTACTTACAAAAAAAAATATATGTTATATCCTCATGTTATAAAGGTGACGGTCGCTGAGCCTATATAATTAAATATTATGAACACTTTATGTACATTTATTTTGAAGTAAAATATATTAATCTCATTTTATGCCGCATATCCAGTGTCTGTTTAGGTTAATAAAATATTTAATTGATTTTGGATCTTTACTAAAGTATGCAATAGTAGTAGTAACTATAGACTAATTAATTGTGCAACTGGTGTCATGCCTTCTACTATGCTTATTTTGTTTTTGTCTACATATAGTATGTAAACTTTTTGTTATTTAGAGCTTTTAATGTATTGTTGTGCAGATATACTTTTTATTTTTAAAACTTAGACCTTACTACTAGATACAAGGAGCTAGTAGCCATTAAAATGGCTTCGTTACATTGGATCGTGGGAAACATGCGAAGTTCATTATGCTATTCTGTTAAAAACAGCCTCAAACTGCAGGTTATTCTGTTAATGGTTATGTAACAATCGCATTTCTTTAGAATCTCAATGACTTGCATTTAACTTTGTATTATCTACCTATAGTCTAATATTATTAGTGCATTGACTTCCCTACACATCAATGTTGACAGTTAAGTTATAATATTTGGACTTCAGGTAGATTTTACAATGGCAAAAAGCGTTCGTTCGTTCTATTAAAATGTGATTATTACGTAAAGATTAGCAGAATTGACCTGCTTGACGTTGTACTCAGCGATGTAACAGCATAGAGATGCAATAAAAAAAAGCCTTTACTACAATTTGAACTTAGTTTTCTTTTGGATTTAACTCAACGTCGAAATGTAGGCTGTTTTTTAAAACAGAATTATTAGTTTGTTGTATATTTATTTTTATTGGTTTATTGACCAGACCAGAGTCAGATCTTGCTTATATGCTCATATAGATGTCAGTTTTGTATCGCATTATGAGTACATAGTGTAACGGCGCGTCGTACCACATCGTTTATTCTGTCCTAGATTTCTAATTCTTCTACCACTTTGAAGCTATCTAACCCGTTAGAGTAGTAAGTATAAAGATCTGAAATAATTGTCAAATCATCATCAACTTATTCTTGTTCCTTTTGTTGACTTACAATTCTGCCATGACGCACCACGCGGATTTAATAACGTTAGATGCAGTTGGGATGCTTTCTGTAGCACGGAGAAGCTTAAGATAATATTTGTTATCAAAGTTAACCTCCGTATCGATAATGAATGCGCTAATACAATTGATCTACTAGAATTTTTAAATAATATCCAATTTAATTATTTAATAATAATACAGCAAGCCGGCAGCGGTGTATTTGGTGTATTGCAGTCATTCTCATGCAAAGTATTTCGTAAAGCAATATTACAGTACTGCATCATTACATTACAATTGAATTCGGAATACAATCGATTAATAGTGATGCCACGGTAGTCGATAATTTTCATCTAACTAAACTTACCGTTTTAGAAACGATGTGTTCTTCTTCTAAGCTAAGTGGGTGTGTTTCCCATTTTCTAAGGAATTTGGCTGCGAGTATCTTAACAACGACAGTTCTAGTGTGTTGAAAACAGCAAACCCTTAGACTTCCCTCAGTCGCCAACTTGTATCGTGGGCCAGGAGGTGGAACTGGTGTGCCCATTGATCTTTCCAGCCCTGTACTGTCTGCGCAGCATTCTGGACTTGAGCCCTGTTAACAATACAGTCTGTATAAGTATATAATATGGGTAAATCAGACGTAACTTTGAATTGCATTACATTTTGTTAGAACCTAACGTTGCGTTGTAATAAAAATAAATGTAGTTAGTTCAAATCTTTTATTTTATTATTCTCGAAAGGTTTTAAAAAATCAACAATAACTATAATTTTGCTAAAAATAAGTTTATAACTTGTAAAATAAAACCCTAAGAAATTTAATTTTGCCTTTATATATAAAGAACAAAATAAAAAGGTTAAAGAGAAATTTGGAATTTATAGCACAGGTTTGTTTTGCAAAAACAACTATATTCTAGCTTAAATACTTATTCACTATACGGCTGATATAACCAGTTTTCTGAGGTTGATTTTTCGTATTTTTCTTTAGGAATCTGAGAAATAATTATTTATTTACCTTTCTCTGTTATTTTCAGCTCTCTTTTTATATTTCTTTTTTTTTTTAATTTGCCATAGTATTTTAGTTCATTGTTAGTGTTTCAATTTTTTCAACTCCTTCCATTTTGCCCTCAACTTAGATTTTTCAACTTGCCCGAAGGCTGGCATTATAATTACATAAACATATTTATAACTCAACTATTATTTTGCTTTATATTTATATTATTTTTAAACCCATACATTCGATTTGTGATAGATATTTACTCACAAAGCGAAATAGTCCAATTTTCTACTACATAATCTGATGTTTTTGTAATATATATTCACACATAATGAAGCTATGTGATCAAATTACATAATCACATAGCTTGTATACTTTGTGGCTGGTACGAAGTGGATTAAATTTAATTTGTAAATCACACTAAGCTACGTGTCTCTCTGTATGTACATATGTATCAGCACCCGTGATAGATCACATATTACATTAATTATAAAAAAAAAATATTTTGCTCATTCCTTCTATCATTCCCTCGGTTCCTACAACGGGTCAAAGAGGTGGATGAGGAAAAAAAACTAGACGTGGATATAGATGGAATCATATATATATCACGAGTGCAGAGTGGTGGATTTTAGAGATTGCAGATACAGCTGACGTGCTTTCCGAAGCTCTAGATAATAAACTTTGGTCACCCATCTTATAACTGGCCATTTGCGAAAGTTGCTTAACGTCCACATTCATCACTGCTCCATCAAGCTACATATTAACATTATCAGTAATGAAGTTGTTTTAACAAACCTTTTAAGAGATTGAACGCAATTTATCCTATAATAAAAATCCATAGGGACCACGACTCGAAGTCTACGCACGCGAAGTCGCGTGCAAAAGCTTATATAAAGTGATGTCGGCTAAAAAGCTCGCCGGTTTTCAAAGCCCGAATAGTCCAAGACCTACTAAAATACGTTTACAATACTCCTATGTTGTTAGTAATCAGGCTCATTTACATTGATTGTCAGAGTCTGCTTTCCGCGCGCGGGCCCTTTTTATAAACATAATTGAAACGCATTCTAGTTGGTTTTCTCAGCAATCGGACTTTCAAAAAACTTTATGATATGAAAAGAAGACTTATTTATATAAGAATTCCTTACACAATTTTGTATAACTCGTACGAATTATCTGACACCAGAAGGCCAATATATTCATTTATCCTCCAACAAAAATTCGCAAAATTACGAAGCGTTTATCGATTATCTATCTGTGCATAGAGGCAAGTCGAGTCCCATTCCGTTGCATCATGTATTAAACTGCGTTTTCACTATAGATATATTGAATGATATATATAAATTGAGGAATTTATTAAGATATAATCGAATTAGTTAATTTAGCGCTCTACGTAGTTATAGTGGAAATAGTTTTGTAGAGCGAAATTTGTGTATTTCCTTATATACAAAAAAGGAACGAATGCTAGCGACAAAAAAGTGAGTCCGCAACACACCGTCACACCCCTCAAATCCAAACTATCAAACATCTACTTCCTCCTCCGGCGCCAACAAATTTGATGTGGGGAATACCGATAACGTTAATGCAACAAAAATGTACGTCAATTCTTAGTAATTGGAATGCACCTAGTAAGTTTTACTGTCGTTCTACGGTACATAATTATTGTGGTGAATTTGAAAATCTGTATTACATATGGTTAGTTCATCTCGAAGTACCAAAATTTTGTTTAGATTATTCAAAAGAATTACTACCCTTGTTTGCATTATATTAATTCACATGTCAATTTAGAATTGATATTTTTGGTATCATAATCAAAGTCGGAGACAACGACCTTCCCAAAAAAGGTTATAAATATAACTTTGTTTACGTTAAGTAAAAATTGAAAATGATTCAATCAGCAGATATATGTTTTTTGATATAATTTTATTTTGACAACAATATATTAATATGCACTTAAAGGTATGAGACGAACTTTTATCCCATTTTATTTAAAACCAGCTTTTTGTTGGCGTCTCCATCCGCGGGGTTTAAAAACCATACAGTGGGATAAAACGTAGCCTAGGTATATGTTCATCTAGGGAGGTGAGCGTCCCGTTGACTCGGCCACGGCTTCCTGGGTGTCATCACCAAGGAAGGGTACACCGTAGGGGTTTTATGGGTAGGCCTACGGGATACCCACCGTGTGGCTAGCACCACATGGTGGGTTCACGAAGGAGAGTCCCACACACCCCCCTGCCGCTTGCCAGGAAGCAGGGGTAGTGCCTAATTTCCTCGACGTAATTAAAAAAAGGTTTATGTTCATCCAGGCTTTGCGTTAAATTATATGTATAGCATCATCCATAACTAAAAAATCTATTAACCAAACAAAAACTATTTTGTGTGAAATAGTAACAGACATACATACTTATTTTTGTCATTTATCATATTAGTAGGATTAATAATTTGTACGATTGCGGCGGAGATGCTCAAAATATGGATCATATAATACAACGATGACCAATCCAAACTCAGAACCCATAGAAGACATCTACAACCTCACTCAAGACGCAGCTTATTGGCTTAAGAAACTGAACCTATAATAACGGTAACTATTTAATTAAAAAAAATATTTGTCCACCTATACTACAGACCACCGTACGATTTAATAAATACTAGGATTAATTATAATAGCGAAATTAACCTAATGCTCTGGAAAAATAAGATGCTTTCATAAATTGACATCTTATTACGTAAAGCACTCTTCAATTGGTTTTGTATTTTTTTGTTACTTCAATGTGTTTTGTGTGTAAAAAATAAATAAATAAAATACGAATCTAGTAGGTCTAATCATAACAAAGATACCATTAGTTGGATGAATAATCTCAGCTAATGAAGAATCTCCCAACACAATATTAAACCTTTGATCTACCCAATTGTTTAGGAAAAAAGCTAACTTCTCGTTTCCGGTGAAATAGGTCTTTTGTCTTGTGCGTTTTCTAATATTTTTATATTAGATTATTTTTACTTCTCTTGATGAGTGGGTGTTGATTATTTATTTTCTAGAAACTGTTTGTTACATAAAATTATACCTGAAAAGTAAGAAATAAATACATTAAGATTGTTAAGAGAAAAAAGATGAATTTTACGCAGAATACAAACAAAAAGATATTAATAATACGAGTATATTATAAAAAACTTATTTACTTCCTTCTATGTAATATTTCCGATATTAAGTTTTTTTTAGAAAAAAGTGGTTTACATAAAATACCTTTGTATTAGCATACGATATACCTTTAAAAATACCAAATCACAACATATAGGTGTTATTGCTAAAAAAATACTGAAACCCAAATGGGAATTCTGAACCTCAGAGATGGGACCACCTTTAAAACAACTTGCGAGATACTCGGCTTCAGTGATCATCGAATAACACTTGTTCTGATTAGAGACATCTTCTTTTCTTAAATCGGCATATAACTAAAAATGAAATTTCAAGGATAACTAATAATAGAATCAAATACTCAAACTTTAATCTATTTAGTTTGAATCACTTTTGTTTTGTTTTGGAGCTCGTTTGATCACCATCATAATCATCAACATTAGTCTTTTAATGTTGATGATTTTATTCAATTCTATCCTTCTTTATGGATGAAATTGAATAAAATAAAATAGAGAGAATGTGCCATGTATTTGCTTTCAAGTTTTTCGCAGAGACTGGTTGCAGGATGAGTGCCCAAAAATTATTACCTCCGTTCTTTATTATATATATTAAGCCATTTGTTCTGGATTTGCAGACGTTAGCACCTATTAAAACACATTGGGCCCGCATTGTGGATTGCGACCCGTTCCACAATCAGGAAGACCTGTGTCGCAACAATGTGGGACACTGATAAGATGATGGTGATGACCTACTTGTCTTTGGTATATAAAAATAACTGCAAATTTTTTGGTTAGTCATGTATTCGAAAGGTAGGTAAGTTTCAGAATAACTACATGATTATTATTTGTTTACGTCATATTAGGTAATTACATCATACGCGCGTGGCACAGGGATGCTGCGTTTACGAAATATGTCGCTATGACGCCATAGCTAACCTTGTGTTTTAGATTCCGCAAACTGATGATTGTAACACGATACAAAAATAAGGTCGTTTCGTTTTGTTATAAACTTTCGCGGAAACATGAAAAAATAACTATTTAAATAAAAATTATATACTACTTTACATTTTCACTTGTCCAACTCGTTGAGTTAAATTACTTTTCGCTTACTAATTCGTTTTTATTTTTGAAAAAAAAAAAATATATTTTAAACATTTTGAATCCTGTTTAGGTTAATAGATTAACAGTGAGTTACACAAACGTCTGTTAAAGTTCTCATTAGTTTAAAGTGACATTACCCATACAATTTTGACATTCATTAGAGCTTAAAGGCGTCATTAAACCTTAATGGACGTTTGTGCAACTGGCTGTAAGGTTACTAGATTAAAACCAATTAAAAGTATTTTTTTTAATCCATAATAGTTTTTAATTTAATTCGAAATACACTTAAATATTTCCGAATTTTCGTTCAAGGACAAATAGAATAGACTTTCAAGTTTCATGTTAATTCGTACGAGTAGTAA